AAATACGAAAAATAAAAAAGTAGAATTTTCTAAAAACCAGAACCAAGCTGTATGTTTTTTCAAATCATTAAAGGTGTAAACTAAGTAATGGTGTGCCTTAACACCAAATGTGGTGCGTAAATAGGGGCACCTGAACGGCCTCTTCAACCCCGTTTAGCTTCATTCTTCTCACAAATTGGCCGAAAACATAGCGAACAATTTCAATTAGGAGTTGTTGAAAATGGCGAATCTCTCGATTATCGCTCGATCAATCGGTCGCCAATTGAGTGCGAAAGTCGAAACCCTACCTTCTAGAGTCCGATTTTGCATTCTTTAAGCTCCGCAGACTCTTCAATTCCGATTCTGGTAACTCAAATTCATATATATATATATGCGTGCGTGATTATTTGTTTGTTTATTTGGATGTAATTCTTGAATTGTGTTTTTTAGAATGGGTATAAATTGAGACTGATTCATTGGACAGATTGATTTTTTGTAATTTTACATTGAATGAGAAATGTGTGTGTTTAATTGTATGTATGCATATTAGATTATTTATTATATTGAGAGAGATTTGTGGGGGAGTTATTGAATAATACAAGAATTATGTGATTTATTATACAGAATGTGTGGATTGCAAAAAAATCAAGAGGTTTTTAATGGAAATTATATATATATTTGGGATTACGGCTCACCGTATTCTCCATGCGATGAATCCATCAATTCATGAGTGCACCATGAAATTAGCAATTTTAATATTTAATTAGCTTAAGGAAAAAAAGGAAAAAGAAAAATAAAGAATTGGGTGGCTAAGGTGCATAATGATGAACCCCTGGATTAGTTTAGTGACGACAGAAACTTGTGTGTCTCACTAAAAGGCCACAGGTTCAAGTCTCCCTCTTATCATAGGGGGGGAAAAAAAATAGAAAAGAAAAGAAAAAGTTGCATAAGGATTGGAGAAATATGAGCAAAAGTTCCTTAGAATTGGTCAGCCAAAAACATATGGGGAAACATACAAGTGAAATAGTGGGAAAGAATATAAAATTCATTGGAATTTTGAAGCAAGTTGGTCCCATATTCGATGCATGAGTAATGTCAGAGACTTCAAAAGATTTACCAAAACAAATGTCTCACATGGGTATAGGCCTCACACTCATGTGTGAGACATTAGGTAAATCTTTTGAGGTGTCTGTTGGGTCGTGTAGATCCTGATAATTGTTCACCCAGGACTGGGTCCAATGGGGGGTTTAGGGGCCTCCCCAAGGGTACTTTGATAATTTTGTTGTTGCTTCCGTATTTTCCTAATTCTATACTTATAAATAGATGAGAGGCTCCTCTTTTCTCTAAGAGAGTTGTTTTGTTTTCTGATCATTGTAAAAATTGCAGTAGCTGTGGACATAATCCTATTTTGTGATGAACCACATAAATCCTGTGTCCTTGTGTGTGTGATTTGTTTGATTCATTTTATCTTTCTTATTTGTTATTTTATGTCTCACCGATCTTGGTTGGGAAGAGTTAATTCCAAACAATCTCTAGCATTTTCCTTTGATGCAAGTCTTTCTTGTATTCAGGACTTGCATAGGAAAGATTCTCCATAAATTTGATATTTCTTTGTCACTGTCCAAAACATATTGGGTTAGGTCATCAATGACTTAAAACAGGTTGGCCAAGATTGATTTAATATTGCAAATTTGATCTTCACAAAACACAATAATAGCATTTGAGGTTCTATCCATTGTTAGCAAATCATGAATTGAATTGTGAATCATTTTGTTAAAGTAATGAATTGTGAATTGTATCAAATCATGAATCGTAAGATTCATTTTATTTAATCTGATATATTATTCTATATGTTTATATATATATATATATATATAAATATACAATATTTAAATAAAGTAAATTATCAATATGACTATATTATATATATATATCTATATACATATAAAATCCTGAATATCAATATAACTAATTAATCTCTTCTATATATCTTCGTAGTTTGGCAAAAATGACGTCGTTTCATGTATTATGTAAACAAAAGTAGAAACTGAATCACATGAATCACATCAATCATAATGAATCGTAGTGAATCGCAATGAATTGTAAATTGAATCGTACAATTCACTGAATTTCCGATTCAATAGCATGATTTGAATCGTTTTTGTTCAAATTCGTATCGAATCATATGAATTGAATTATGAATCATACGATTCTAACAACCATGGTCCTATCATATAATTTCTTAAGGCCATAAAACTCATTAAATTAAGTTGCTACCACCAAACGCTTGACCAAAGCTGCTTTCATGCGACAATGAAGGGGGTGTTTGGCAAAGAAAAAAATAGCTTAGTTTAGGCTAAAATTCATAAAAAGACTAAATAGGCTAAAATAGCTAATAAGACAAAATATCACATCAAACCCATAATCATTTCACTTTTTCTCTCACAAACATCATATCTAACCACAAAAAAATCCAATCATCTTCCCAAACACAAAAATTTTAGCCTACTAAAATAGCCAAAAACTAAAATAGCCTACTAAAATAGCAACTTCCCAAACAAAGCCGAAAGTAGAAACTGAATCACATGAATCACATCAATCATAATGAATCGTAGTGAATCGCAATGAATTGTAAATTGAATCGTACAATTCACTGAATTTCCGATTCAATAGCATGATTTGAATCGTTTTTGTTCAAATTCGTATCGAATCGTATGAATTGAATTATGAATCATACGATTCTAACAACCATGGTCCTATCATATAATTTCTTAAGGCCACAAAACTCATTAAATTAAGTTGCTACCACCAAACGCTTGACCAAAGCTGCTTTCATGCGACAATGAAATACTAATGAATATGTGGAAGAACTTGCAAGGGTGTTTGATTTGAAATGGTAAAGGGGACGATAGAATACTACTAAACAATCTGTGTGAAGCAAAATGTTTGTCGAATAATATAGAAATTTTACTAAACTAGAGACATAATGAATATGAATGGATAAGATTTTTAGATGTGCATATTCATGTTTATTTTGTGTCCGTTTTTGATAGAATTATGTACCTAGAAAAAATACTCGTAATTTGACTATGTAGTTTAGATTTAAACTTGATGTGGTATGAGTTACATCCTAAATGAATCTACACATTTCAAATTATGGACAATTTTCTTAATACATAACATTGTTGCTCTAAAAGGTTTTCATCATGAATTGGAGTTGAATTAATTATTTAATGATGATACTGCCAGTTCTTGTTCTGATATTAGGTTTACTGAAAGTAAAACATATCATCCCTTACAATTATTCTTGGAACAATATTTTCACATATTATCAACTAAAACAACAAAAAGAAAATTTAAAAAAGAGACTTATCTAGATCGGCCTATCTTCATGTTTCATGAAGATGAATAGCTGAAAGAAGTGCTAGTGGGAATAGGAACATCAACGTATCCCTCTAACATTTGTGTTACGATCTTCATTGTAGGCCTTTTTGAAGGATCCTCTTGTACACACCAGATTGCTGTCAAGATCCACCAGCTCAGGGGCACGTTATCTTCGATGGCAGCCTCGTCATTGTCCACCAAAATGTCAAGTCTCCCATTCATATAGCAGTCATAAGCCCAATCTGTGAGTATTGCTTTTTCTTCTTCCCCAAACTCCTTTATCTTTCTACAACAAATGATCTCTAGCAACATGACACCGAAACTGTAGACATCCACTTTCACTGTCACGGGTACATTTTTGAACCATTCTGGAGCTACGTATCCTCGAGTTCCCCTTATCCCAGTATGAGTTTGAGTTTGGTTGAGCAATAATGATTTTGCCAATCCAAAATCAGAAATTCGTGCTGTGAAATTTTGGTCAATTAGTATGTTTTGAGGCTTTATATTGCAGTGGATGATTGGCGCATTACAGTCTTCATGCAAGTAAACTAGTCCTCTTGCAATCCCTAGAGCCATTTGAGTCCTTTGATACCAATCAGGTCTTGGAAGGCTGAAGAGGAAATTTGCTAAACTTCCATTGCTCATGAACTCGTACACTAGAAGCCTGTGAGGCCCCTCTTGACAATAGCCGAGCAGTTGGACTAGATTCTTGTGATGGGTTTTCCCAATTGCACTCACATCGGCTTTGAATTCCCTCTCTCCTTCTTGTGTTGACTTGTCCAACTTCTTGACCGCAACTTGTTTCTTTGAACCAAATTTCAGTACACCTTTGTAAACAATCCCAAAAGAACCCCTCCCTAATTCATCCTTGAACCCTTCTGTCGCTTCCTTGAGCTCTTCGAAAGTGAAAAGATGCAAATTTGTTTCGGGAACACTTGAATTATGTACGGCCTTTCTTGATCTTTTCCGTCGAATTGAGAAAAACATTAGGGAAATTACGACTAGTAAGAGAATGTTGGCAAACCCGGAGCTCCACAAGAGAATTCGCTCGTCTTTCTTTGAGTTGGAAAGTGGAACACTGTCTTTCCTTACTTTGAAAATAGCAACTGCAAACTCGAATTTCCCATTAGACAGCAGCAGTTTCTTCTTCCAACATGTTGTATTGCTAAATATGGCAACGTCACACAAACAATCGTTCAAACAAGACTGTTCGCACGGCATTTGATTATAAGGTTCCAAACTCTCATAATCTCCAAATGGCCAATTCACGCCGTGAATCGGAACCAAACCATACATGTCTTCTGGCTTTTTCGTTCCATCGTCTACTCCGCAACCTTGAGGGAAATTTGGTTTGCAGCCTCCAAAAATTGTTGTTTGGATCCATGAATGAATAGTCGGGTGGGCAGTGACAACTAGGAGTGCCACCGTTTACTATGCAGTAGCTATTGAACCCACAGGCCCCGCTGCCTACTTGCGGGTTTATCAGTGCCATACATATATCGTCAGGGATGTATCGAACAATTGACCAGCTCTGGCCACTGACAGAAGTCTTCGCATAAGTATATTCCCGGAAAACACCATCAAAATCCAACGTTGCGCGATAGTAGCCGTTTGAGCTTTGAGTGATGTCCTGCTATGAGAGTGGGACAGCCCCTCCATTCACTTTCACAATGTAAATATCGGCTGATTGATTGAAAACCAGTTGAAACCCAGATTGAGAAGAGTTGGAATTAGCCTTTCGACTACTGTAATAAGGCGCATAAAGCTTGTCGCTTGGCCAAGCGACAAGATTGAGTTCAAGATCTCCTCCATTAGTGAAATGGAGCTCAAACCTTCCTTTTGAGTAGTTGGTTTCAGAAAACTTAGAATACAACATGTCACCTAGTGGCAAAATTCGGGTTGGCAAGATGGTGTCTGTAGGATAACTAAAATTTGCCCATACATAATTAGAATTAGTATCTGAAAGCACAAAGGTACCCGTGTCGAGCATCATACCATATGATACAGTGGTGTTAGGTTGTGCCGTCCATATTGTTTGGCCATTGGGATCATTTAGTGTGAGGCCATTGGCGGTGAGCTCAACCTTTGAACCTGCTTGCAGTGCATTAGTTGTGTTTGTGTGCCAGACGATGGTTTTGTCGGGTATGTTGGCATACCATATTGCAAGCAAGAAGGTGTTTGTGTTGTTGAGTTGGTAGAATCCGAAAGCAAAATCCCCAGAAGGTGAAATCCATGAAGAGTTGTCACCATTGGTGGACAGTGATGAGCTCGGAGTTATGTTGGAAGCAGAAAAAATAGGTAGAAAAGGCAAAAGAGAGAGGAGGAGGAGGAGGAAGAGTAGAGAGATAGGAGAAGAAGCCATTGAAGATAGTGCTCTGCAAACAAGGTGTGTTACAGCATAAAGTTTGTTTTGTAATACTTTAGTCAATTTGGCTAATTTCATAGTATTGAGTCAACCACATTTAATTTGTACAAATAGGAAATAATTATCAAATATTATATATAATATATAAATTTCATTCAGAATGATCCGTTGATAATATTTTATTTTGTATAGGCCCAACCTCCTGTGATTGTTTCTTTTTGGTGTGATTGTTCTTAAGACGCGCTTTTTGGCTCTTTTTTTTTTTGAACTCTTTTTGGACCTTTGGGACGCATAAAGATGCCAGTTCTTTCAAATATTTTTTTAATTACTGCTTTACCCTTTGTCATTGTATGTTTTTAATTTCAATTTTAAAAATGTTATAACTTAAGTTCTAAACATCTGTTTTTCATAAATTTATATTTTCAATTTGGTCTTTTTGAGATTTTTCCAATAAGACTACACTGAATACGAAATTCCAAGAAAAAAAAAAATTGAAAATTCAAGGCTCGCGTAACAGTTAAATCTAATTGTTTGGGATGACTCTTTAAAGTCCTAATTTTAATTCATTGTCAGTAAATAATTTCACACTATTTATACTTTCATACTGTAAACTTTAACTTGGGTTAAATAAGCATTTTCTAATGTGAAAATGATGATTTGAGCTATTTTAAGAAAAGATGGTTAATAATAAGTTTATTGGTTAAAAGCCTGATTAAAAGCTATATCATGATTAACTTTTTGTGAGAAGGAGAATAAGTTTATAAATCAGAAAGACGCCTTTATCTATATACTGTCTATACTTATTATCAAAGGTGAACATCTCACTTTGGGTTTTCATGGGATTCAATCTCTCCCCACAGTGACCTTTTCTTTTGGTGTCAAGTGTTTCAAATTCTCCGAAAAATAAAATAAAAAATAATAATTAAAAGAAAGACAACAAGACCTTGAACCTAAATACTATTTACTTTAACTTACTAAGAACACTTTTAATCACTTAATAACATAATAAAAATATGTTATAATTCAAAATTAAAATTTATATTTTAAGCACGACTCAATCGGGATGGGATCATCGCCCTAATGATAGTTAAAATTAACTTAATTGTTTTATTGTTATATTAAGTTTCTTTTTAAATCTCGTAGGTTGGGATTAAATGTGGTAATTTTTAGTGTGGAACATAGTGATTAAAAATGAAATTTAATATCTAGTTTGATTTAATTAATTTGTTTAACATAATGTCTCATCATCCTTTTAATTGTATTAATTATGACCAAGCACTGAATTTGTAAATTACATATCATATGTTTTTTTTTGGGGTTGTAGTATTGTGGTAATTTCCCGTCGTCTAAAAAGTCAAATGAGTTGTACACAGTTGAAGTAAAAATTAAGTTTATACTAAATGGGGACATTATATGTAGGCAGGGGAAGGGAAAAAAATTATGCAACATATCCACAAATGTTTCATTTATACTCATCATAGACAACACTACGATCCCAATGTATTTGTAATTATTTTTTTTTTCTCCCCGCGTACTATAGTTTCTTCCTATAATATTGAGAAGGAAGTTACTTATATGTAGGAAGTACCAAAAACATTATTACAAAATTATGAAATATTTATAATTTTTAATTATTAATGTGTATAAAATTATTATTATTTTTATAATTTTTTAAAAGTCTTTATATTGAAATTGAAAATTTTGTAATTTACAGTAGTTGTTCTTATGAGATGCGAACAATCTCGGCCACTAAGGCGCTGTTTTGTTTTCCACGAGATTAAAAGGAATGAAGTGGTGATTGATACGTGAGGGAATTAATAGTGAGAAAAATTTTTACATTATTCTTTATATAAATAATAAAACAAATAAAAAAAAATTAAAACATTAATATTAAAAAAAATTCCCTTGCATGCGCCAATATAGAAAAAAAAATAATAAAAAAATTTCTAATCCCCTCACTATTTTCTAATACATCTCTACCTCCTCACTAGAATCCTCCTTCTAAGGGTATTAATAATACCAAGGTATTATAGTCCCAAGGTCATCTCTCAAAACAAAGTATTAGTAATACTAAGATATTGATAGTCCCAATCCTTTTTTTTATAACCTAAACAAACAGGGCCTAAGATTCTTATAAAGAAGCAGGTGTCGTGCACAATTTGAACGCGGATAATAAAGTAGGTGTTGCTGTTGGTTATCACTTTCTCTTTCCTCTTATGCTAGTCTAAATTTTTGACCCATTATTATTTTTGAATATGAATCTTTGGATTGTTTGGTATGATCTAAATAAATATATTTTTTAATTTTTTATAAAAATAAATAAAATAAATGAATAACTTAAAAAATAAAAAAATATACTTTTTTATACACCCTAAACAAGCTCTTAATATCAACTCTTCTCGCATGTCTAACCTTTGAAAACTTTTGAAATCTCCATTCCATATCTGTTTGTTAGCAGATATGGAAGGTAAGTTGTTAGCAGATATGGAAAGTAAGATTGATTAATAGTGTTGTGAGTAATTTTCTTGACCACACTGCCCGTTTAGTAATCAGCTAGAGAGTACTGGCAGAATAGATGGCTTCAGTTAACTGTAACAGAAAGAAAAGGCTTTGGCGGTGGCTCTTCCACCCAAGGGGCACTGCCGACGATCAAGTCAGTATATCTTCTTAAAGATAATTAAGTGCTAAACTCACTCGGCAAAGCATAAATTGCGTAGCTAGACCCACAGGGGTGCCTCTCTTATAGTTTGTTTAAATCCTAGTCCCACTAGAAGCCTCACTTCTATGGACTCCAATTCAGTACTTACTTTGGACTCCTTAAGAGATAAAGATAAACTCTCTAAGAGCTTTATCCTTATCTTGGGCTAAATCTTCTTCTTTATTCTAGGACTCTTTGTCCCTTATCTTTTATCCTTTATCTCGGATTCCGATATCGTCGAGATAATCTCGGCCTTGTCGAAGATGCACTTCGGCGTCCACGACCAGGACACGTGGCACCTCGGCTGACACGTCGGCGTCACCCAGCCACGTGTTGGTATTCAGAAAAATATTCCCCACAATTGCCCCCTAGGTTCCATTACCTCGGCATTCTGAGGTGATGGAACCTATTCCGTTTTTCCAGTATGGTCGATTTTCAGTATCTCAGCCAATATATTATTTTGGCCGATATCCCTTTATTGAAGAACAAGAATTTCAAAGAACCCTTCCACGCGATTGAGCTGTCATACACCATAATTCAACCGTTTTTAACCACGCATTTTTCTTCTTACTGGTTCGTACCCTGTGACGCGCCCATAAGCCGTCTCTTTCTTCTCACGTGCGCGTCTGACGTATACGTTCTTCTAGTGTATTGATTATTTTTTGCTGCCGTTTTCATTTGTTTGACAAAAACCTTTCCCCCCTGTTCTTCATTTTTCTACTTTTGCATCTGATTTCTCTTGCTTTTTCTCTCTCTAAACTCTTTTCTTTCGAATTCGCCATTTGCTCAAGCTCCAAGCTCTGCAATTGTTCTTTCATTTCTCCCTTCCTGTGAAGCTTTCGTCGTTCTTCGTACATTTTGTAACTTGTCGCTGACTTCGGCAATCTTCATACTGACTTCACTCTTTTCTAGTAAGCTATTGTTCCTTTTTCGTTTTCAATTCTGTTGATATTCTTCATTACTTGTTGCTTTACTGACTCTATTGAAACTTTTAATTTGCGATTTCATACACCTGACTGTGTCCTTCCAATGATTTTGCCCTTGCCCAATATCTTGAACACACGGCATTGTTCACTACTTCCCTGTATCTTTGTCACTAATCTTTGGCCTTGTATTTACTTGTATTCTTTATGCTCTTGATAACCATCATCTCTC